ACCAGCCTCTCTGGCCCATCAGCGTCCCTGTGCCTACCGCGCAGACACGAGTCAGCTGAGACCCGGTCACTGTGGTAGGTGACCTTACCATTAACTCAGGGCTGGACTCGTCGTCTTCAACGGAAGTCTTGGTTTATTGCTGGTGGCCTGGTCCCACTGGCGGCCTCTGCCGGCGGCTCGGGCGCGCTGCAGGGTCGTACTGCCCTCTGGTGGTTAGGGGTGAGCACAGCACCGCTGGAGCTGCGCTTGCTTGGGAAATGAACTGGCCAGGGCTTTTAACTTGGTTTCTCCTTTACCAGAGTGAAATATGGGCTCATGCAACGGCATGATGCGCCTCAGAAACTCGCAGAGCGAAGAAAGCCAGGCACCAAAGGGTACCTGCACGAGCGCTTGCAGATGAAGTTCTGGATCTGGCCCAGTGGAATGATCTTGGTGACAGCGCAGTCTAGGGTCATGGATATAGGGGGCGGGGCACGAGGGAGGGGCCTTGGGAGCCGAGAGGGTTTTCTGCCGTGATCTGGGTGGTGTCATTACCCCAGTGGAATCCCATGTAAAAATGCCTCACGGTGTATGCTTGAGATTTGAGATTTGTGCGATAAATTTTATGTCGACTGTAGAATAAAATGAACAAAACTTTAAATTCATGAAGGGTTCCCAGGACCCACATGGGCTTCCGTGCTCCCCCCAGCCATTCCCTTGGTGGCAGCCAGGGTGATCTTGAGCTGTAAATCAGACCACACCCCTCTCCCGTTGAAACTCTCCCAGGACTGGAGTTGGGGTGAAGTCAGGTTCACTGGACTTGGAGTAAAATCCAAGATGCAAGATCACGAGGTCCAACTAGGCCGGGACCTGTGCGTGGACCCCGTGTGTCACCTGTGACCCTGCCCTTGGCCTTGAATCACTCTTCCTCTCTTTCCTTTGCCCCACCGGAAACCTCTGTACTTTCGGTGCCTTTCCCTGGATACCTCTGTACTTCCGGTGCCTTTCCCAGGGAAAGATGCAACTTTGCCTGGTGCCTTTCTATGGCTTTCTCACCTTCCGGGTCTGAGCTGACGTGTCACCTCCTTACTGTGATCAGCCAGTCCACAGCGCCCCCTATTTCAGGTGGGCTACACTGCCTCACCCCCATATTTCTGATACCAGGCACTGTCTGAAGTTTCTACACACTGGCAAGGAGAGCAGCCTCTGGCTTTGAGGACACAGGGCTGAGCCTTGTATCCTAAGAGCTAAAATCTCAACCAGCAAGAAAATTCTTTGGGTTTTACTCTCTGGACAAGTCCTGGACCCTGCATGGGCCAGAGTGCTTCCCTGGACCTGCACTGAGATCTTTCTCAGGAAGGTGTTCTCAGGTCCCTTTCAACTGGTCCTTCCTAGCCAATGGGAAACTGAGGCCCGAAGATCTGCCCCCTTTTCCCTGAGGGGCTGATAAACAATGCCCTGCCCCAGGTGTTGGCAACCCAAGTGACTGATTTTCTGAGAAGTCAGAGACCATGTAATATGATAAAACTGCAAATAACATTATTATGTGCTATACTAGTTGGATGCTTTGGGCTGCAAGTAATTCTGTAAGAAACAACTCAAAATATTTAAACCATAAGGATATTTATTTATTTATTTTTTGGTACCAGGGATCAAACTTAGGACCTTGCACTTGCAAGGCAGGCATTGTTATTAACTCATATAATAAATTTAACCTGATTATATTTCCTAGCCAGTTATCCATTTAAGAATGAAGCAATGCTCTACCAATGAAAATCTTTGCTAGGTTACTTCCTCCAAGTTGCCACTCTAGTATGTGACTTGTGACAATGAAGCAAAAGGAGAGGAAACAGAATTTAGTGATGGACATAACGAGACTGAACTTTAGAAACATGTCTTGAATTCTGCCTTGGGAGGCGGATGTCTGAACTCACACATTCCTAAACTTTGTTCCTAAACTTTTCTGGTTTGTTTATTTAAGCCACTTCAGTTATGTTTCTGTCATTTGCTATCCCATTCATAGCTCTCTGTATTTTAAGTCACTTGGCTATGCAAATTCCTGCTTCAGTTCCAGCAGCTGACCTGGTGACTTCTGTGAGGTCTCTGTCTTTCTCCATGGCTCAGGGAGTTCTGGAATCATGCTTGGACTCCTGAAAGACAAGGACTTTTGTAGGCAAGTCCAGAATGGTTTACTTGCTTTACTTCTACGAGAGTCTGCAGAGCAGCAAGACACTTCTAGGGAAACAGTGAATGTAGACAGGTTGGGAGCATGGACTCTCAGTCATCCATCCACCCATCCACCTCTCCATCCACTCAACAGCCATTCACTCACCATCCATCCATCCATCCATCACCTATTCATTCACCATTCACCCATCCATCCCTTCATCCATCCATCCCTCCATCCATCCATGCACCTTCATCCTCCATCCATTCATCTGACCTTCATCAAGTGCAGGCTCTATGATGAGCAGAGTGCATAGAGATGAGAGAGACACCATCCTTGCTCCTCAGCAGCTCTGAGTTATCCAAAATTCAAGCTAAAATGTTTTCCTTAGAGACCATGAACTGTTTGTGTCTGTCAGAATTGGCCTTTGATGAGTCATTATAATGGAAAAGCAGCGGGGGATCAAGTTAATTTCATTTCAGGGTTAAGGTAAGGTCATCTGTTTCACCTAAAACCTCTTCCTGTGTGATGTTAAAAATTTGATTACCATTTCTAATGAAAGCCTATAAAAGACAAGATCCTTTCATGAGTAATTTACTCTTTGACTCGAAACAGATTTTTCCTTGATAGTGAGCTTTGGTGGTGGCAGGCAGGGATGGATGACAAAGGGGAGATGAGGGGATCCTGGAGTCTTCATGTTGCTGAGCCCAGGGTGACTCTGCTCCAGTCTCTGTCCTACTCCAACCAGAAGCCAAGGACTCCAGTGGAAGCCTGCACCCACCTTCTGAGAAGCCTGCCTGGTAGATCATTGTGAATCGGAGCTGGATGCTTAAGGCAACATTAGACACCTCCACCTAGCTGTCCATCTGGCTCTCACCCCTCCTTGCCACTTTGCTAACTGTCCACCTAACTATGAATGCACCTTCACATCCACGTACCCAACCACCGTATCATTGCTACCCAACACTTTTAAACCATCAGCCATTCCCTCCATTTACTCATCCAGGTGCCCAATCATCTGTTCACTCACCCGTATATCCAAATTGCCAACCATTCACACATTCAGACAACTATCTACTCACTCCTCTCACCACACAGCCATTTGGTCATCCACCCAGCCATCCAACTGTTCATTTATGCACCCTGATCTATCCAACCATCCAGGTGGTAATCCCAACATTACTTAACCATTTACCCATCCAGCCTCCAATCACTGCTCACCCACTTTCCATCCGCTCAACCATCCAATCACCTGACCCATCATCCATTACCACCCACTATTTCACCATCCATTCATCCATTGGTCCAGATGGCCATCTATGATTCCAGATACACAGTCACATGTCACCTAATGGCAGAGATATATTTTCAGAAGTATATTGTTAGATGATGTTATAGCTTGTATCTACATGTCCCCCAAAGCCTCATGTGGTCATAGGAGGGGCTTTTACAGAGGTGGCTGGAGCTAGAGTGTGTTGCTGGGATTAAGGGTTTGTGATTACTAAATAGTTCTGGGTAGAATTAAGGATGCCCCATCGTGGGTGTGAGTGCTACCTGCCCTAAGAGTGGGTAGCCTGGATAAAAATATCAGGGACAAAAAGTGAGCTGTAATTGTCATTTGTTGCTTGTTGCTTGCTGCTTGGATGCTTTTGCTGCCTTCTGCCCACCATGAACCCTTTCTCCTCTGTGATGCCCCTCTGCCATGCCACCTACCTTGGAGCCAGCTGATTTGGACTGAACCCTCTACAAACTGTGAGCAAAATAAACCTTTCCTTCTTTAACTTTGGGTGTTGGGTATTTTGTCTTAACAATGAGAAAAGTAACTAAGACAGATGATTTTGTCGTCACTGGCTACTAGGTGATACAATCTTATGGGGGCACTGCCATGTGTGCAGACCTTGGGTGACTGAAATGTTACGTGGTGCTGACTCCAGCTCCATCCTTCCTTCCATCCATCCTGCCTGTCATGGGTTGTATTTGGTATCAGGCTCTGTGCTTTGAGTCTGTGGATACGGAGATGAAACCAACAACACCCACCCCTCGGAGCTGTGGGGGTCCCTCACCCTTGGTGTGGCTTCTAACAATTACGGATTGCAGCTCTGAGGTTCTGACTGCTGTCAGCTCCCATCTCCACTGTCACACATATCAGCCCATGGTCACCCTGGATTTCACAACACAGACTGAGGAAGTAGGGCACATTTCTGCTTAACATCCACCAGATCGATCAGGTCCCTACGTGGTGCTCTACTGTGGTAACAGTGCTCGAGACACCCTGGAACCTCTCCAGACTCCCCCACCCCACCCCTTACCCTGGATCTTTGATTCTTTTCCATTTTGGAAAATGAAGTCCTTTCGCTGCAATGGAAGTTGGTTGTATTTTCAAAACCAACTCCTTCTTCCCTTAATTCTTTTAGGAATGGCTCACGGTTACTGTTTTTTTTTTCCTCTGGGGGACCAGCCCTCCTCAACTTCCTGCTCGTGAGAGAATCCAACCCTAAACTCAGCTCCATGGATGCAGCCAGGACTCAGGTGCAGCAATGAGATTTAACCTTGGGCTTTTACCAGAACCACCATGTCGGAGGTGTTCTTACTCTGGCCACACAGTGTTGCTGAAAGATTCTTGGAGCTATTTTTCTACAACAGAGCAGAGCCTATCTAAGAATTAAAGTCACATGGGAGGAAGCGTTTGCTCACCTGGCTGCAGCCACAGCTGAAGACAGCAGCACTGCCCTTCACCTCCCTCATCTGAAGCCAGTTTAAATTGGATTTTATTCTTTTGCAACTGAAAAAGTCCTGAAAAAGACCATATCTGCAAGCCTGGGAGAAGAAATAAAGTGGCCACAGTCTCCTCCACTTCAAAATGTAAACGTGATTTTATTTAATGCCTTTTATCCATCACAAAGTACTGCTTCCTTCCCAGCATCCCCTCTTCCTAGAAACAAGATGGCAGCATAAGGCACTGTGCGGGGTCCCCATGACATTGGGGAGGGGCTCTAGAGACTACCAAAGCAAGTCTTCCCACAGTTCCCAATCGCCTCCCTCGCCAATGTCCGAAGAGTGATTGTCCCCCAAAGCACAGCCTGGAGAAAAGAGTGTGAACCACCCCGCATGCCAGTTACAAAAAAACCAAACCAATCCGACAACTAAGAAAATCAACGACACAGGCACAAGAGCGTAATACGGGAGTAATGAGATTTGTCCATAAATTAAAAAGAAAAAAGAAAGAACCTGTTTCCTCCTCCTCGCCACCCTCCCCGCAGTTAGCAAGTCCTTGCTTTGTTCTGCGAGTCTTGCAGAAGTGTCTGGACTCCACGTCAGCCCTTTTTCCCCAGCGTCAAATATTCCGAAGCCAGTGTTGGGGACTTTGAGGCTCAGTACCCTCGTGCAGGACAGCTTCTGACACGGCCACTGGACACGTCCTCTGGGTGCAGGGACCCTGCCTGGTGGTGTCCCGCAGCTGGGGCTCTTGGCAGGGAGGCGGGGAATGAGGGGTGGTGGATGTGATGGCGGGTGCTATAAATACTCCAGCTCCAGGGCGTGCCGCAGCGCCTCCAGGTCGGCGTGGCAGGATATCCGCCAGAAAGGCATGTTGTGCTGGAACACAGAACGGCAGCCACAGGTCACACCCCTGGATGCTGTGCCCAAGCTTGGGTGGGGGCGGGCTTCAGGAGTCCCCCGAGCCAGCCCAAGGCCTGGCTCTTTCCCAAACTGTGCTGCGCAGAACCTCTGGGAGACCCATCTGGCCAGCGCCCCCCACCCAGTGTGGCCCGGCCAGCTCTGCTCCCTCAGTGCTAAGAGCGATGCTGGTGGCTGCTGCACTCTGGATCCAGCCTGCAGTCTACCTCTTCTCGTCTGGTTAGGTATACAGATGTGTAAGATGGGAGCGCCCAGCCCGCAGCCCCCGTGTGGCGCTGGACACTGGTAATGCAGCCCTACAAGACTGTAAACTTGGGGCTGAGCCTGGGGCCTTCACACGGAGCTACATCCCCAGCCAGTTTTTAAATTTTGAGACAGGGTCTCAGTAAGTTGCTAAATTTCTCAGGCTGGGCTCAAACTTGCAATCCTCTTGCCTCAGCCTCCTGAGTGCTGGGATTACAGGCGTGTGCCACCACAGCTGGCATTACACTTTTGATAGTATGATGTGATTTTTATTGATCATTTTCATGACTTGATCACACAGTCCTTGGGCACGGCGTGTGTAGGGAACAGCTGAACACTGGGGCGCAGTGTGATCAGAACCTGCGTGTATCAGACCTGCCCTGCCCTGGCAATCCGGTGAGTAAAGTGAAGCAATTCCTGATGACAACGCGGGGCTGTGAAGAGGGGCATTTACCGTCATGACGCGAACAGGTAAGTTTCTAATTTCATTATTAAACTTGGGCTTGTTATTTTGTAAAATAACTTCCTAAGTTAAAATATTAAAAAAGGAAGTTTGTCACTTTGCATGCGTGAACTATATGATGTATTTTATCTGTGGCCCAAGATGCTGAGGCCCAGGCACCTGCTTCAGGCCATCGCCATGGTGGGGCTTTGCTGCTAAGGGACCCCGTGCGGGGTAGAAAGCAGCAGGATGTGTCTATTTCTGGTAACTGGGTCAGGAAAGGACTTTAGGGCAGTGGCCTCTAAGCAGGCCCTGAGGATGAAGAAAGCTCAAGCAAGGGTATGCAGAGAGTTCGAGACTAGCAAGTGCAAAGGCCCTGGGGTGTCAGCTGCTTCCACAGCTCCTGGCACAAAGTAGGTGCTCAGAAAATATTCATGGAAGGAATGAAAAGAGGAAGGGAAAGAGGACAAAAGGAAAGAGAAATTTCTCCAGGGAGCTCCTCTATGAACTCAGCCACTCCTCTTTTGTCCTGCAGCTGGTCCACAGCTCCCAGCTCCAGGGAAATGGGGTGCTGTCTATCCTGGGACACAGATGTTGCCTCCTAGCCTGTCCTCACCCACTAATCCTTCTTTTCCTGGCAAAGATGGATTCTGGGGCCCACCTAGACTGGCCCATCCCCTTTAAAGAGTGTAATTCATTTTTCTGGGAGGAAACCAGCAGAAGCAGCAAGCCCCAGCTGCCTCGCCCCAGGTTGGGGGGCTCCGGAGTAAGGGGACTTATCGCGCTTGGAGAGCCGGAGACAAAGACCGGCCTCGAAGGCGATGAGACATTAGTGACACCCACACAGACACCAGCAAAGCCCTGAGTCCTGGGGCCACACTGCACGCTGCTCGGGTGTCTCCGCTGGGCCCAGTGACTCCCATTCACCAGCCTGGGATGGCTGCAGGAACAGCGGAACAGCAAGCACCTCTGCTTCGGACACTGGCGGTGGGCTCCCCTCCCATCTGCTAGCTGAGGGGTGCAGACCCTCAGTGTCTGAGGCATAAGCGCGGCCTGCAGGGAAGTGCACAGAGACAGCACAGGAGGCCTGTCACACACACTGGCCCTGTGGCCGGGGCAGATTAATTCATCTGAGTCTCAATCCGTTCTCTCTAAAATGGGGTGCACTGACACCCACTTTGCAGGGTTTTAGTCAATGAAATGATGTCCGGAATAAAGAGCAGTGGTGAAGGGCATGAGGTCCAGGGCACAGCACAACCCCGCCTCATCGCAGCTGGGGTGGAGACTGCCAGGGGTCCCCAGCGGCCCTCCTCCTCCTGGCCCCCAGGGGCTGCCCACTTTCAGCCCTCTCAGCACCGGGGCTGCCCAGCAGCCAGGTGTGGTGCTGTGACTGCAGTTGGACCACGGGGCTGCAGCGGAGTGAGTCTGCTGGGGTCAGGCTGTGCCCTAGAGGGCAGAGGTGCGCCCTTTTCCCTTCCCCTGCCTGGTGGCCGGAATGTGAAAGGGCGCCATCGTGGACTATGTAGAAAGAGCAGCACAGAGAGCAGCCGAGTGAGAGACAGAAGAGCCTGGCCGGCTCCCCATAGCTCAGGGGAGAGACTGAGAAGTCCCCTTCCTGATGCCTGCAGTCTGGCATCTCAGACGGCACGAGGCAGATGCCACCGTACCCGGGGCCCCTGTGCACACCCTCAGCCCGGCTTAGCGACTCGCTTCTCCCAAGGCTTTGAGCCAGCAAGAGCCTCGGTGTAGCTGCAGCCTGTGGCGCAGGCCTGGCCCCACAAGCCGTTGCTTCGTGAAAGATGGGACAGTGCCCTGGGGAGGGGTCTGTCGGGGCAGGGAAGAGCGGCAGGACCTGGGGTTTTCGCTTTCCTTCTGAGTTTCATCCACTGAGCCCCGAAACGTTTCTGCATTTCCTTGGGATTTGCTGCCAGTGTGTGGGGGAGCCAGGTCCCCCACGGAGCTTTGTGACATTAACAATCTGCTTCCCAGGCCTCTGGCTGGGGGCGGCAGGCTCTCTGGGGCGCTGTTGACAGGTCCAGAGCCCCGGTTTTGGTAGCTGTTTGTTTTCCGAGAGGAGGGCTGCGGCTACCAGAACCCCCTGCCCTCTCCTCCGGGCCCAGATCACAGATGCGGGTTTTTCTTTTTCATTAGCCTAATGCTGTCTTTATTAACTGGGAAGGTCCCTGGAACACGTGAGCAGCAAGCATTAAATAAAACGTGCGCACGTGCAGCAGTCCCGCCAGCCGCCCCTGCCCAGCGCCCCGGCCCGCGCGTTGGCCCAGAAACAACCAAGGGGCTGCCAAAGGCACGAGGGGATTTGCGGGAGGAAATTACTCAGGATGCGCCTGCGCCCTGCACATGGGAGCGGCCGGATGGCAGGGCGGGAAGGGGCCGGGGGGCGGCGGCAGGGAGAGCGCGGCCCGGTACCTTCTTGGCTCCTTGTTCCTCTTCCACCCCGTCGCCGATCACGATGTAGACGGCTTTGCGGCCGAACCTCTGCATGATCCTCTCAAAGCAGCTCTCCTTGCCTGCACGCGGGAGAGAGGAAGGCCCGGCGCGTGAGGAGGACTCGGGAGCGAGGAGCTGCTTCCTGCCGCCGCCTCCCTTCATCCTCCAGCGTCCCCACTGAAGGAGGGCAGCACGGGGACACGGAGAGGCTGCCCGGCGCCCCAGCAGGAAGCGGCCGCGCAGAGGTGGCAAGCGGCCAAGTCTCTGTAGCCGTCGGGTGCGGGGTGTAGACTGTGAGGGACAAAATGCCACCCTGGTGCACACTTGGAAAACGGAGACAGTGAAGCTGCCTGCAGCGCATAGGCGAGCACCTGCTGAGCATGCGTGAGGGCCCGGGCTCCACACCCCAGTACCACACATGCACGCGCACACACACATGGCATGATAGTAAAATTTTTATGTTGTTATTTTGACACAAGTAAAGCTAAAAAAGAGCTGGGTATGTTGGGCCTATATCTCAGCACTCGGGAAGCTGAGGCAGGAGGATCACCATGAGTTCGAGGCCACCCTGTGCTACATACTGAGTTCAAGGCCGGTTTGAACTACATAGGGAGACCCTGTCTCAAAAAACAAAACAAACAAACAAACAAAAAAAAGATCACTAAAAAAGAGGTTTTAAATATGTCTGACTAGAGGCATGTAGTATGGAAGTGAGAAGATTCCTAAGGACTTGTTGACAAGTCTTTAATGGCTATTTTGACCTGAACTACTAGGATTTTAAAATCCAAAGGCACCTGTATATCATGTTCAGTCCTAGAAGTACAGTACAGGCAAAAATTGCTCTAAGAGAGCAGTGATTTAGCTCAGTGGCACCACGCCTGCCTTGCAAGCACAAGGTCCTGAGTTCAATCCCTGGTACCAGAAAAAAAAATTGCTCTAAGAAAATATTTTCAAAGTATTGTGAGTTGATTTTTTTTTTTTTTTTTTGCTTCAGAGAAAGAAGGTTCACATTTCTAATTAAAAACATCTCAACTAGATTTATTCTCTAGTCTTATACGTTTTTAGGTGATATAAGAATTTAAAAAAAAGTCAACTCCTATGAGAAAAAGAAAACCAGAATTCCTTGACCTAAAAAGGTCGTCACCGGTTGTAAAGCGGCAATACTTTTAATTTCTAGTTATTTAGTTCAAGAGTGCAGCAATTCAGTGATTCCCACGTATTTAGTTCTAGCTGTCTCAAGCCCAGGGGTGGCCTGGAGGGTGTCTGGGAGCAGAGGCAGCCTGCAGTCCAGTTCTGTAACCCTCCCTGGGGTCCCTTTCCTTCATGACCCCTCCCCGGGCAGGGAGCTCCCACCTTCTCCGGCCCACATCGAGGTCGGCCTGTCCCTACCTGTCTTGGTGGCGCTGTAGATGTTCTCAATAGGAAACACGGAGCCCAGGCCGTACAGCAGGACTTTGGCTAAGGCAGGGATGAGCTGAGTGGTGGTGACCAGCACGTTGACACAGTTGGGCCTGAGGACACAGGAGACTGGGTCAGACCCAGAGGGGCCACTGACCGGGCCTCTTCCTCTGCAGCCTGAGCCTGGAGCCAGTGGGAATCCAGGTGGGGTTGGGGGCTCAGCCAGGCCATCTTCAGGTGAGCTGGGCCCAGGGGTCCTCCAGCGGCTCCTCTTCTTGAAGCCTAAAGCTGCCTGACACTAGAATGTAATACTTTGCTCATTTAAAAGCAAAGGTTTGTGGCAAAAGCCACACATTTAATTAGCTGCATGGGCCCAGGTTACATAAATGAGTGATCTGGAGCCAATGTAGGATAATAGAGAGCCATGGGGACTGGGGTACAGTGGAGAGCACAGGCCAGCTCTGATCCAAGAATCTGGGAAACTGCTGGACCCCAGGAAGCCTCTCCAGCTATCTGCTCAGCTCTGCCAGCAGTGCAAGTTTTCCACTGTGCCTTGCACACTTACACCACGTTAGCAAATGTCTAGAAAGTGTGCAAGTGAGACTCTGGGAGTCCAATTCCCCCAAATGTGGAAAAGGAGGAGGAGCCACCACTGTCTCCTGGAGAAAGTTCAGTGGCACAAAGGAAAATGGGGCTGCACTTGCCGGGAATTGATGAGGTTTAGGGCCTTCAGGGAGTGGGTCAGCCAGAGGTCTGTTAGCGCCTCCAGCTCGGCACGGAGCTGCAGCCACGTCTCTCTTTTGGGAGCTCCTATCAAGCCTGGACACAAAGGAAAGGAAGATGTAACCATCATATCAGAAAGGTCTGGTGGGGAGTTAGGGGAGTGTAGCTACTCTACCCCCAGTATTCAAATCACATGACACCCAAGGTCAACTCAGTCCAGTAGCCCCTCTTCATCTTATCCTGGGACTGATTGATTAGCCCTTTCACTGGTGGCTCTCCATCCGTCCACTGATCCATCCACTCATCCCCCGACCCATTCATACATCCACCCATTTGTTCACTTTCCTGCCCATCCGCCAACAAACCCATCCATCCATCCACACACTCACCTACCCACCTGCCCATCCATCCATTCATCCATCTACCTATACAGCAAAGATTTCAGAAATGCCTTCTATGTCCTCAATACTGTACCAGGCACTAAATATGCAGAGATGAACAAAACACACAGATTATACAGAGCTTACATTGCTATGGTGGAGATAAACAATAATAAAAAAATAATAACGACTATCATCCTTTGAGTTCTTACTGGGTGTGGGGACCTGTGGTTCTAACATATCTTATTGCTTGTCATTCTGACAGAGCCCTAAAGATGGACACTAATTTTATTTTCATTTTTAAGGTTAAAAACTAGGCTGGCTGACTTGTTAAGCATAGAGAGGAAATAATGGAGACAGGTTTGGCAGTTGATCTCCAAACACTCTTTGAGAAAAGGGGCCTTGTCTTTTTGATTTTTTACATTACTGGGGATTGAACCAGTGCTAGGCAGGTGCCCTACTACTGAACTACATCTCCAGACCTTCTTTCTTTTCTTCTTCTCCTTCTCCTTCTTTTCCTCCTTCACCTCCTCCTCTTCGCCACCCCCCCCCACCCCCCGTCCGCCTTCTCCTTCTCCTTCTTCTTTTTTTGATGCCAGGAATAGAACACAAGGCCTCACGCTTGCCTGGCAGGCGCTGCACCATGGAGCTACATCCCTGGCCCCTTTATTTTCATTTTGAGACACCGTCTTGCTAAGTTGCACAGGCTGGGTAGGTCACTTAACCTTTCTGATCTCAGTTTCTGCTTCACAACACAGCACGTTGGAAAGGGAATGAGCCACTGCAGTGAAAAGCCCCAGGGCGGAGCCTGCACAGAGTAAGTACTGTGGAAGCTGAGCTGGGCCAGCTCACTACTGGGCGCCGAGCTGCAGCAGGACTACAACCTGGGACGAGACTGCCCTGAAGAACCAATGCCTACCAGGGAAAGCAGAGGGCCCCCAGGAGAACGGAAGGAGTAGGCAATGAAGGCTGCTGTCTAGTGCTCGCTACATGCGGTCAGAGTCCTGCCTTTTGTGTATACGCACAATGGACCACTCAGAACCCCAGCCAAGCAGAATTATTTTTCTTCCCATTTCACAGATCTGAAAACCAGATCATGCACGTTCCTTAAGGCCACAGGGCAAGGAAGTGCTGTGTGGTGGAGGCTGGGGTCTCCTCTTTTTGGGCGCAGAGTGAGGAGCCTTAGAGGGCCTGGGGCCGATGAGCAGCACATGGCAGACACCATCAGCACCGGCGCAGAACCCTCCCTTACAGCCAGGCAGCTGGTGCCAGCACTGTGACAAATGCTCCTGGCAGTGGGAGCAACACCACTTCACACCAAGAACCTCTGGCCCAGAGAATTCCAGAACCAGTGACCCAGGGCCTGGGTGCTTCCCGGCTAACCCTGTCTCCAGCCCCGCCCGGATGTCCTGCTCAATGCGACAGAGAAAGGGTGTCTTGTCCTTGAGGCTGGCTCCACCCGGCTGGCTTGAGAACCACTGGGAGCTCTGAGCCCGGGTGTCCTGGCTGCAGCCATACCGTGACCTTCAGCCCCAGGCACCTCGAAGTGGCTTTGCCAGGGGTCAGGCAGGAGGACCAGTGACTTCTGGATTTTCTAGCTTCCGGGCCTCCACAAGCACTGGAGAATCTTGCTAAGTGCAGATTTTGGGTCAGTGGCCTGAAGTCCTGCACTTGTAACCAGCTCCAGGGTGGCTCAGTGGCTGCCCCTGGGACCACAGCGAGTCCCCAGACCGCAGTGTCCCAACACCCGCTAGAGGGCTGGCGGAACCCAGATCCTGGCTGGCTGCCTGGAGCTTCAGAGTCTATGGGTGTGAGCGGGGCTGGGGCTGCGCTCTGAGGACCCAGGAAGCCCCCACGGAGCTGGGCGATGATTCTCCCTGTGCCCAGCCCCAGCCTCTGTGGGTGAAGTGCCCTAGAAGAGATGCCTTGTCCAGCCCTCAGCTTCCTCACTGTCAAGAGAGAGGTGAAGCCAGGCGTGGTGGCGCAGCACACCTGTAATTCCAGGCCTCTGGGAGGCTGAGGCAGGAGGATCCAAAGTTCCAACCCAGCCTGGGCAATTTAGCTACTTAGTGAGGCTCAGTCTAAAAACACCTGGGGGCGGGTGGAGAAGAGAAGTGAAGTGATAAAGCCCTACCCCCTGGCGTGTGGAGATCCCCATTCCCGGCCCCGCCAGGGCAAGGGCGGCAGCTGGAGGGCCACTCACCGCCCACGTTGTTCCGGTAGGTGTTGTACATCTCCTTCACGCGCCGGTAGCGGAAGGCCAACTTCCTCATCCAGTCCACACCGCCGTGCACGCCTGTGCCCAGGCACAGGCCAGCACCCGGGGCCGAGCCGTGGAAGCCGTCGGTGGAGAAGTTGTATGTGCTGGGGAGAGGGAGTGAGGCCAAGCGTCAGTGTGGGGAGGCAAGGCCGGAGCCACAGCAGGGCCCTGGGCTACCGTGAGCCCTCTGGACCCATGCAGGGGCTGCGTGGGTGCCTCGGGGAGGAAGGAGCAAAATGACACAGCCAGCCCCTCCCTGGCATTGTGCCCTGGCCTAGGGGACGCTCGTGTTCCTTTCTTCTGGCATCACAGTGAACACCTCTGGTTTCTTTGGGGGACAACTGATGCCCCAGCTTGTAGCAGCCAAGCTCAGGAAAGCCTCCTGCGCTCTCCCTTTGGAATTTAAGCTCAAAGGGAATTCCACAAAAATGGCCTGGAATCCCAGCCACTAGGGAGGTTGATGCAGGAGGATCATGAGTTTGAGGCCAGCCTAGGGAAGGCCCTGTTTTAAATAAAAAATAAAAAGGGCTGGGGATCCAGTCAGTGGTAGAGTGCTTGCCCAACGTGCAGATAGTTCCTCACGAAACAAGGAAGTGTCAGCTAATCTCTGTTACTTTGATCACATCAATGTGTCTTTAGACAGAATTTCTCCATTTTAATTTTTTCTTTAATCAGGTACAACCCATTGCCTAACTGGTACTTTGTGGGTGTAAACCTCCACCCACAGCAGCACGTTAGGCTGAGAAGTTCTGCGTGTGAACTGGGACATTTCAGAAGAGGCACAAGGTCAGCAACCAGAATGACAGCTGGGCCAGGCCAGGAGCGGGCTGGCGGCTCAGCCCAGGGCAGGACAGCAGCAGTGGAAAGCGAGTCCAGCTCCCTTCCCTCCACCAGCAGCTCGGGTCTGGGCTTGCAAAGTCCTGGCGTGAGGCATGTGGTGCCACAGGCGGCCAGGTGTGCGGGACGGTGGGACCAGAGGTCTAAGAGACCCAGACAGCAGCCGGAGGGAGGCAGGTCGGTGGCCGCGGCTACAGGTGTGAGTGCGGCTGGTTTTTCTCTCTTTATGCTGTTAGATTGTTCTGCACTCTGTAATGAATTTGAGTGGAAAAGAGAGAATCTCCGTGTTTGGAAGAGGAGATGCAGCAGGAGTGAAATAACAGTTGGAAACTGCACGCTAAGCACTCCCAGCAGTTCGCCCTGCTGTGACCGGATGGGCTGACACACGGCCTTTCGCCCCAGCTGAGAGGCGGGTGGGGCACCTGACAGTGCAGGGTGACCTGCTGCCCTCACCCACTGTTCTGCAGAGGGGCAGTCGCCTCAGGGATCCCTGGGGCAGGCAGCAGGGTGCCCCAGACACCCTGTGTGGACAGTCATGGCAACTGGGACAGGCCTCTGTAAGTATACATACGTAAGTATATGCCTAGTGCATCTCTCAATGTATATCGGCACAGACATGTCACTGAGTGCATATGTAGTATTTGTGTGTATGTATGAGTGAGTGTACATGCATATATATGTGCATACGTATATACATGCACAAATTTCCACAGGTACAGATACATATTATTTTATAATTATTTGAGTAGCACAATTATATTGCAGATTATTGCCACCTGTGGCGGAACATTTCCTGAAACAAAAGCATACATAGATCATAAGTGACACAGAGCTTTCCCTAAAATCTATTACAAAGTTATCATTTTTTCCACAAAAATAGTGGCATTACTGTTCTACAGATATCCTGATGTTTCAAATCAGTCAAAAACGCTTCAATTGTTCTTTATGTGAGAGATGTGAGAAGTGCTACTCTGTGTTTTGTTTCCTTATATTTTGAGACGGGGTCTTGGTATGTAGTTTAAGCTGGCCATGGACTATGTAGCCTGGGCTGGCTTCAAACTTGCAGCCGCCTTCCTGCTCCAGTCTCCTGCATGCTGGTATCACAGGTGTGCGTCAGCATGCTCAGCCCAAGAAGTGCTACTTCATTGACGATAAAAATTGGAAGCTGGGCTTGGTGGTACATGTCCTCAGTCCTAGTACTCCAGAGGCTGAGGCAGGAAGGCCATAAGTTCAAGGCCAGTGTAAACAATTAAGCAATTTAGTGAGGCCTGTCTCAAGATAAAAGGACCCGGGTGTAGCTCATTACAAACGCCTTGGCTTTGATACAAGTACTGAGAAAAAAAAAAAAAAAAAAAAGCAAAGGTCGGAAACTATTTGCTTTAACTGTTTGGTCATTTCTCCATTTTTTTAACTCCTTGGGAATCAGGGAAATTAGCACACATCCCTCTTGGCCTTGACTTCGACCCCTTGTGTTGTCCTTTGCGGAGGTCAAGTGTGGCAGAGATTTGCTACGTGGAGGAACAGGAGGCGTGATGGGAGGCTCCCTGGTGTCAGGACAAAGCCGCCCGGGCCAATCACGACATTCCAGGACCTTCTCCGTCTGTGCCTTCTGAGGCTCCCGCTGCTGCGTTTAAACATCCGAGCATCCTGGGGCGGAGCCGGAGGCTGCCACGTGGGTGTGGAGGGCGTGGGAGGAAGCCGATGAGCACAAGAGACTGAGCAGGACACAGCAACACATTCGCTGAGTCACTCCCCACAGACATCTGAGCGGAAGTGTGTGAAACGGGAAGCAAGGCACTCGTAGTGGTGGAAATTGTTAGTTTGACATGGCAGGAACATGGGCGATGAGTTTGCTCCTCTGCTGTCTTCTGAATTGCTCAGAAATTTAAAAGACCCACAGACAGCCATCTGCCAAGACTCTGTCTGTGCTGGGTACTTTTCTAGCAGGGTCTTACCCTGTGGAGCAGGGCCTACGACTTTATCCTCTAGAAGCGACACCTCTTCTTCTTTCTTTGTTGAGGCAAGGTCTTCCTGTGTAGTTCAGGCTGGCCTTGAACTCACTATACACCCCAAGTTGGCCTTGAACTCGTGGTGATCCTCCTGCCTCAGCCTCTTGAGGGCTGAGACTACAGGCGTGCACCTCCATGCCTGGCTAGAACCTGCACTTCCAATGCCACGCAGTTCTTCCTCTCCACATAAAAGTTCCCACCTTGCTAGAATTTACTCTTGGGAGAGGACCCACTGACATCCATTTGGAGGGTGCCCTGGGAGAGGCCTGGATGTTCCAGTATCGCTTACCTTCTGCAGGGCAAGGGGGCTGCACAGGATGTACCGAGGACCTGGTACACGTTGGGCCCTAGGTCCGGCTGCCTGGGTTTTCTGAGCCCTGCCTTCTCCATGCATGATCTGTGGGAGGTTGGGTAGGCTGCTTAGCCTTTCTGAGCCTCACAAGCCCCAGCTGTGAAACGGGGGTGAGGGAAAGACCACGTCTCCTAGGGATACCATGAAGATCTGGGGCTGAGCCGTGTGAAGTTTCACACAGGGCACGGCATGAAACAAGGCGGCCATGGGCTTGGTCCTTAGCCCTAACTGAAGTACCCCAAACAAAGCAAGGACGTCTGATGCTTGGTACTTAGCGTACAGCAGGTTCCCAGGAAATATTTCTTGAAGGAACCATGGGGACTTTGGTTTCTACTGGGAAAAACTCCCTTGGACTGTGGATCCCTGAAGTGGTGTCAAACAGCAGAGCAGGAGATGGGTGCAGAGGAGCACTGTGCTGTGTTCCAAGCCAGATGGCAGCTCGGGAAATGACAGAAGCAGGGAGCCCTGGTCACCGAGTCCTTGTGACAGAGTGCTTCCCAGCAGTGACTCCATGGAAACAACACGGTTACCCTTGCTTTACTCCAGACACTGAGACGTTCCAGCAGCCGGCTGACTGCAGAATGGACTTCTGAATGGCTCAGTAGAGGGAGGCAGGCATCTGGCCTCCCATCACTTCTGACTGTGCTGCCTCTGAAAAAGACTTGCAGATCTCAGCATAGCAGAAATAAATGCTGGTTTCTGGTTTTGGATGAAGTTGGGAGACCTTGGAAGCAAACACTATGTGAAATTATGAGGTGCCCTGTAACCAACACATTACTTGGTCTAAGAGTATTTTTGATGGTCCTGGAGGTGTTCGATTGTGATAATTTTGGATAAGCACAGGTTAACCATGGTTCTGTTTTCATAACGTTTCCCCAGGAGTGGGCTTGGAACGTCCCATCCACATTCCTGTGAAGCAGCCTGGTTGGTTGTAGGCTGCTGGTTACTTGCTTTCCGGAAACCAGGCCCTAGGAGTGTTTCCTCCAGACACGAGATACACAGCTTACTCATATAAGAAACATTTCTTGAGTATGAACAGCATTAATTTTCTATTAAACATATATGCATTCTTATGAATGCAGTGAAACCTTTGAAGACTACCAGACTTTTAAGGAAGTGAGATCAGAGCTTGAGTTGTTTTTTTTCTTTTTTGGTACCAGGGATTGAACTCAGGGACAGGCAGTGGAACCACTGAGCTAAATCCCCGGCCCAGGGCTCGAGGTTTCTGCAATATCCATGTATTATCTTAGTAAGCAGGAAACAAAACAAAACAACTGAAAAGCCCAAACAAAGAAAGATAAACATGAGCCGAGCCAGTGAAGAGAGGTGAGGGAAGGGAGGCTGGGGAGAGGGGGTTGTGACTTTTGAATTCAGAAAAGCCCCAGTCCCGGCTCTGGCCGGAAGCAGACCCAGGTTGTCCTCATAGCCACCCCTCACCTCCCACCCTGCTTCCGACTTCAAGGTGAGCTTGAACATCCACCAGCCCAGAAGCTCTTTGCATTCCCCAAATTCCTACCTTAAGTCTTGGCCATTGTCGTCTGCTGAGACATCATCCACATGGATCTGGTCACAGTCCTGTGGAGAATTTGGCAAGGAGAGAAAGAAACATGCCTGGTTAATCTGACGTAGGCTCTAAGAGTGGGCTTCCTGAGCCAAACGGAGGGGTGAGCACTGGGGCAGGAGCCCCCCTGTCTTGGCTCCTAGTCAGGCTTCGTCACTGGACATCGGAGGTCCTTGGGCTGAGTCTCGTTGCTTCCTTCTCTTTGGTTTCCTTATAAATGGGCAGGTTGGGTATAAAAAGGGTGAAAAGATAATTTGTCACCCTGGTTGAGATGGTTTTGCAAAGCGCTCTCGCTCTGAGTCACAGAACACTCTGGAGAGTGGTGCAGTAGAGGGACAAAAGACCCAGGCACAGAGAGAACAAAGTGAGCAGCAGATTCCCCTGGAGCCACACCTGCCAGACCCCTCAGTCCTTCCCTCAGGCCCCAGGGCCCCTCTGAGATCACCCAGGCTCAGGCCCCTGACAGGGGCTTCCTTGATGTCAGGGGAAAGGCATTTGGGGAGGCTGTTTTTCTCATCTGAGGGGGGATTGTTGAGGGTGCTAAAGTGCAACAACAGTAGCGATCACATTTCGGACTTCCTAACATACTGTGATGCTCAGCGAGACACTACCTCATACTGCAGCAGCTGACCTGGATCGAGTTACCCACTGTGCAGGCGCTGAGGGCAGCCGGACAGCGCGGAGGACTGGCGGCTGGAGGGGGCTTTCGGGAGGAGAATCCAATGCCCCTAACACTGCCACCTTCCCCGGGGTGTGGGCCTGGCCTCTGAAAGGGAGGCAGTGGATCCACGTGGATTTCGGGCCTCTCCTGATCTGTCCTGGGTCGATGTGTGACAGAATGGATGGGACCTCTGGCAAAGGCGGAAGAGGAGGTGTCCCCACAGCCTTGACATGCACGAGATGTGAAATGCGGTGGGGCCACAGTCACCCACCCAGTGCAGTCACCTCCTCGAGGAACTTCCACCTCCTGACCCAGAAAGCCACCGGCCAAGAGCTTGGGCAAAGATGGCCATCAACCCAGGGAGGACCAGCGGACACCTGCTGCTCTGGTGACCGGCGTGCAGCTGACGAAACTCGGTCTATACACTCAGTGGAGCCCAACCCAACAGCTCAGAATGAGGCAGATCTTTCTGTCAGCACACAGACATGTTTCTGAGATATCTTAGAGTGCAGAAGGAACAGGCTAGAGGACAACACATCCTGTGTGAGGTCGTGTACACGCCGAACCTATTAAACATCCGATATTTCATATGGCTGTAGGCAATACTGGGAAAAGAAAGATCTGGAAGCTCACACATCTCATGGGAAGATCCCCCTGAAGGCACTGGGGTTGGTTGGTGGTCAAAGGAGCTTAAGTCTTATTAAAATGCTTTCATTTAAAAAAAAATAAGAGGATTCTAGATATATATGTATTGCTTTTGAAATACACACACACACACACACACACACACATTACTTTAGAAAAACTAATTTAAGCTGGGGATTTAGCTCAGTGGCACCACACCTGCCTTGCAAACACAAGGTACTGAAAAATAGAAAAAATAAAAACTAATTTAAAATTTCTCACTGGAAAAGAGATGTGATTTCACATTGGATAGAAGCTAACACTTTATTTAAAATTTTTTTTTAAAACTTTTTTTTTTTTTTGAGGCAGTGTCTCTCCATGTAGTTCAGTTTAGCCCTGAACTCACGATGTAGTCCAGGCTGGCTCTGAACTCAAAGATCCTCCTGCCTTAGCTTCCCAGAGTGCTGGGATTACAGGCCTGTGCTACCATGACCGGATAGAAACTAACCCTTATTAAGAGACATACTAAGAGCTCCCAGTGTGCCAGGAACTGCCTCAGCATTTTGCAGCTATTAAAAGGGAAACTACCATCATCCCATCTTACGGAGGAGCAAACAAGGCAGAGTGCGCTGTAGGAACATGCCTGCTGTTGAAGTCCTAACCCCCAGGACCCGTGACTGTGACTTTCTTTGGAAGCGGGGTCTTGGGGACGGTCACGTTAAGATGAGTCATCAGGGTAAGCTCTAGTCCAGTGTGAGCGGCAGCCTTAGAAAGAGGGGAGATTTGCACGGAGACAGACACGCACAGAAGAGAAGCGATGTGATGGGCAGGATGGAGACGGGGTGACACTTCTACAGGCCAGGGAACGTCTGGCGTCACCAGGGGCTGGGGGAGAGGCTGCGAGCAGATCCTGGGTGCAGCCCTCAGAATGAACCCGCCCAGGTTGTGGGGCTTCTGTGTCCGGAGTGGAGACAGTGAATTTCTGATGTTTCGGCCCCGCGTAGCAGGCTGCCCAAGGCGAGGAGCAAGGGGAGCCAGCGCCTGGGCCTAGGAAGCTGCCCACCCCACTTCTTGCTTTCTGTTGTCCCAACTCTTGTCCCTCAGCAAATCCCCCAGCTCTCCCGCAGAGAGCATCTGATCCTTGTCACTGGCTCCACGCTCTCACCGGGGTCCAAGCTACCTCACCTCCCACCTAGACCACAGTCGGAACGCCCACGGGGGCCTGTGGCCAGTTTGTGTAAATAAAGTTTTATTGGAACACAGCCGTGTTCACTTGTTTACACTCTGCCTGTGGCTGCTACTGTGTTTCGATGGGAGGACTGGGCCGAGACAGAGACACGGTGGGCTGCAAAGCCTAAAGTATCTACTGCCAGGGCCTCTCTACAAATAGTTTGCTGAGTCTGGTGGGGGCTATTTTGGTCACCTCCTGGCTCTCTCAGATGTTAAGCACCCTTGCCACTCTCCACCCGGGTAGCCACAGGGGTCCTGCTAAACCCTAAGTAAGATCATGTCCCTCCCCTGCTCCAAATTCTACAATGGTTCCCATCTCCTTCTGAATAAAAGCACAGTTGTCACAAGACCCCTGGCACTACATGGTCTGCACAGTTTCACGCTGCTCACCTCTCTGGCTGCATTTCCCACCAGGCACCTCACTGTGCCTCAGACACAGCAGCCTCTTGCTAGTTCTTCAACAACCACTGCACTCCTGCCACAGGGCCTTTGCACCTGCAGTTCCTTCTGCCTCAAATGCCTTTCTCTTCTCTTTCTATCTGTCAAGAGCCTACCAAAGGCTTTGTTGATGTCACCTCCTTTGTAAAAAACTCCCCGACTCTACCTCAGATCAAGCCGGATGATTTGTGTCTCTATTTTCTCACCTGGTGGGGCTACTGGACTATTTTCTCCTTTCATCCACTAAATTGGGATGCTCTGAAGTAGAGACCATTTTCTATCAAGTTTTGCAAGGCTGGAGAGTAGGGCAGGTTAAAGCACTAAAACCCTAGGGCCTGGGTTCAAATCCTGGCTCTGCAATTGACTCAGTGACCAGGGACCAGACATTGCATCTGCTTGCCTCAGCTTCCCCACGGGTAACTGAGCCACTGAACATCACCTGCCTTACAGGGTGCATAGGAGTCAGGGAGTCCAAACAGGTGAGGCCCCTGGAAAAGTACCTCTGCCGTTCACATTCGCCACCCTTGTCGCTCTTACTGCCTCTTTGAGAGCTGTTGGCCTAAACTCTGTGCCTGAGGTGCTTAGATCTGACCGCTGAGTGGCCCGGGGACAATCGGTGCTGCTGACAGGGCGACTGCACAGTCCAGTCTGTGGCCGGCCAGGGTGCTGTGGGTCACAGCCTGGGGACTCTGGGCACAGAGAAGAGGGGCACGGTAGACTCAGGTTCCCGCCACCCAGATGCTGGAGTTGGCGTTCAGACGCCCATCCCCGGACTCCAGCCCCAGCCCTGTCACTTCTGAGTGTACGGTCACCTGACACCTTTGAGTCTTCAGCTCTTAAAAATAAACCTTCTATTTTAGAAGAGTTTTAGATTTACAGAAAAGTTGCACAGCTACCAGAGAGAGTCCCCATACATTCCACACCAAGTTTCCGCCACTGCTAAGAGCTGACACTGGAACAGTTTTGCTCTACTATTATTAACTAAGGTCAATTCTTTATGCGGATTTCCAGTTTGCCCACAAATGTCCATTTTCTGTCCTAGGATCCCACCCAGGACCTCACGTTACATTTAGTCGTCGGGTCTCCTTGGGTTCCGCTAGGCTGTGACAGTGCCTCGAATTCACAGTCCAGTATTGGGGAAGGCTTCTCAGTTGGGAGCTGTGTGACACTGCTTTCCTGGCTGGCCTGGCGGGGCTTTGATGGGAAGGATCAGAGAAATAAAGCATCCTTCCAGCCCCTCCTAGCAAGCGAACTCACTATCAAAGAGACCGTGTTCTCTTCTGACAAAGTCGGTACGTAAGTTGTTATGCACAGCTTACACTAATGGTGCATAAATTATTTGAGTTTTTCCTGCAGGGGAGATTTGTCTGTTCTCTCCTTATTTGTGCATCTTTTTATGTCTATCGGTGTGGGCTCACAGATACTCATTTTAGTATACTTTGGGTTAGGTCCAATATTGCGTTATTAATTTTACTGCTCAGTTGTTCAGGCTTTGGCCGCTGGATCCTGTGTGTGTTTTACATGGCCCATCACCGTGGGGTTTCAGGCACCTCCTCACTTTCTGCCACGGTGACGTGTTCCTGGCCTATCCTGGAGCTTCCTTTCCTGAGTCCGAGAGTCAGCCGTTTCTCCAAGGAGCTCAGGTTGCTTTTATTGGAGAACGGGATTAAGACCAAGATCTGGACACTGGGCTGGCTCAGTGCTACAGGGCTGTCACTGCTCCTGGTTCTTCTCAGAGGACACAATAAGGTTGTTGGGTTTTGTGTTTTTTTTTGGTACTGGAGATTGAACTCGGGACCTTGCACTTTCGAGAGAGGCGGCAGAACCACTGAGCTAAATCCCTGGCCAGGTTGTTGGGTTTTTAACAAAATGATGAAGCACGGCTAATACATCTGCTTGCAGGAGGCTATTGGCAGCATCCAGTAAGTGGTCACAATTGTAGTCCAGAGGCTCCTTTCACCAGTGGGAGACTGAAGCTCAGGCAGATCTGTTGGGAATGTCTGTAAAGAGCCACAGGGTGCCTGCCTGTAATCCCAGCTACTCAGGAGGCCAAGGCAGGAT